TCTGAAGGAGCGGGTGTAGGCAGTGGGTGCTGTTACGCAAAAACCGATAGAGTGAAGCCGCGGAAGTCGAAGCGCAAAGTGGTGAGGGTTCACTGTATATTGTTGGAGCACGTACTAGGAGCCCATGTCTTGGTTTTGATCTGTCAGATAAGCAGGGTGGGGGGAGGGGAGAGAGTCAGAAAACTTTTTCTTGTGATTTGGGTAAAAGTTTACAGAGCAAACCAGCTTTCCTTTCCGTAGTTTGTACACATTTGTTGTGTGTGACATTGATTGCAATCTCCACAGTGTAACAGCAGGAATCCTGCTTCCTCCGCTGTTTGCTGTTTTTCTTCATCTTTCTCTCCTGTCCCTTCTGGGCCAATGCTGCCCTTTTGATCTAAAATGGTTGATTGTTCTTAGGTGCCTGTATCTCTGGTGTTGTTTGTCACTTTATAGGCCTCTGTTGTTTGGTTGCAAGTTCACCTGTGGGGATGAGCTCAGTTATGTAGGCTTAAAGGGGTGAAGGGTTGTAGTCTAGGCTCAGGGAACACCTGCCTCCATCAGACCAGTAAGCCTGGTCTTTTTGGATAGTTTTGAGCTTTACATCACATTTTTCTTTTACTCTATTCAAGACCTTCTATTGTGGTCCCTCTCAGAGCTGTTGGTAGTGGGCACCATCTACGTCTTCTGATCTCAGGGTGGTGGAGGCTTAACCTTTGGACTAATTGTTCGGTCTTTGTTTTTCACTCTTCTTTGATCCTGATGGGGAGGGACCAATAGTTGCATCTTAGGGGGCTGCTCACAAGCTTTTAAGACCCCAGTCCCTATTCACCACAGTAGGATGTAGACTATGTTTTTAGTGAAGTATTATGTTGTGCTGAATTGACTGATGTTCCCTGAGCCTGGTCTTGAGCCCCCAGGCCCAGAGACTCAAGGTATTTATGACTAAGAAGTTTTCATAACTTGCCCCTCTGAATGTGTACCATTTTTATGGATATATTTGTAGTACATATACGTACATATATAGATATATCTTCTCTCATGATGTATTTGTGGGCATAGTTTCATTTTCCTTCCTACCTCGTTTCAGTGTTTTTGCCTGTCTGTGTATGTACTCACTGATGATTATTGCAATTGCAGGGTTGTATATGTAATAGTATTTACTTCCGTTACCTTTCATTCTCGTGCCATCTTTTGCCTCAATCCTTCTTTGCCGCTCCCCTCCCCTTATTGTATATTAACAGATAAGGAGCTTTTTAAGCTTACAGGATAAGTCCAGTCTAGCAAAACAAAATGGAAGAAAGGATGTTAATGCCACTGAAGAGTTTCATTTAGAAATACTGTTCTATGAAATGAAATGATACTCTTTTAAAAAAAGATTTCAATATTGGTGTGAAAAACTTATTATTATTATTTGTGCTAACATAAGTGTAACCATAATTCTTTCTAGCAGTAAAATTGGGAATTTTTTCTGCTAGATTATGATAATTATTTTGTTTAAAATACAGCTCAAGAGAATATACTGATAAGGAAAACACCCTATCTGTAATTGGAAACACAATCTTCAGTCTCCATTGTTGATGTAATTTCTCCACATACTACATTCAGTACCACCTTAGGAAGAAGGTCATATCAAAATGACCCTGTCTTTCTTTGTTGAGTTGAGTGTATGTAAGACTTTATCTTCTGCAGATAAGGTCCGTCACCCTGGTTTTCTGTTGTTCAAAGAACAATAGGCAACAGAGCTTTATATATATATATAAATTATATATATATATAAATTATATATATATATAGTATCGATTTAGAGTGAATATCATCTTGTTAGTTTATTTTCTATTAATGCCATTTTTTCAAAGTTTTATTGGCGTGTAATTCACATATCATACAATAGTTTAGCCCCATAAATAAGAGTTTTACAGTTATCACCCCAGTCAATTTTTG